GGGGAAAAGGGCGGAGGGTAGTAGAAAAGGTCACAAGACGAAGACCTTTGACTCCCCTTTTAAGGTGGATCCAAAGGCGGATGGAAAACGAGATGATCCTGTTTGGCATTTCGTTGCTCGTGGTCATTATTTAGATGGATCCACTGCGATCGGGAGGAAGAACGGTCGCCGTTGTTTGTGCAGGTTATGCGGTCGTTCTCTATGTGGGGGTGCTCGTGAGGGGAACACTTTTTTCGTGGCGAGGGGTATAGATGCCAAGTAGCCACTCCGGCGGTGTGGCACGCGATTTGGTCAAAGGATATGTCCAAGTGTCCTGCACATTTGGCTTCTGCCGTGCAGGCCTTGCAGAGTCTCCCTCTAGGTCATCCCTCTTTTCAATGGCCACCTCTTCGTTTTCCCGATGACGTCGTTCCGCCGCCCCCGTCGACCGCTGCCGCCTCGCAAGTGGCGCCATCTCCATGTGCACCACTTGCTCCCCTCGCCCCTCGTCCGCTTCGTCAGACGATTCCCGCATCCGTTGATGGCAGACCATCTGTGGCAACGCAGCCTGATGCGCAAGGCACCGTGCCAGTTTCAGGTGTCGGGGAACCTGTGCCGTTCGACGAGCAAGGCACTCGTGCTTTCGTCGAGGGCGGTGGGTGGGGGAAGGACGCTGGCACATCATCAGGCCTCGCCCCGTTGTTCACTGGCAACAGGGACAAGGTCCCAAGAGTTCGACGCACAGACACACGTCCGGCCATGGCAGGAGCACCCGCAACAGGACATCAATCCGCTGCGTATCCATGGTTGCCTCCCCCTCCTTCGCAAACACGACGGCCTACACCAGACTTGACTTCGGCACCTGTTGGCGAGGCCGCTGCAACGGCCACTGAGGGTGCGGGAAACGTCCAGCTCGACGAGCCCGTCCAGGTTTCGGATTCGTCACCCACTCCTGTGCCCGTGAACGGCCCGACCTCGCAGCACGGTGTTTTTRRGAHAVWRGATCCTTTACAGAATCTKCGCAACATTGCAGCTCCGAGTCCAGGCCCCACCGCATCACCTGCGGCCGGGGGCGGGGTGTGGGATTCGCTAGGTATGGGCGCCGGTGCACGAGTGAGGGGCACTTACAGGCAGCAGGCGGTGACCTCGTATTACAACGACCCGCTGGAGCACGCATGGCACCTGCAGATCATGYGATTCATTGTCGAGAGYGGCATGCCGTTCAACTGTGTGAAGCTTGAGAGCTTCAAACGCATGTTGACGTTGATCATCCCGCCTGGGGTTCCAGGAGTCCCCACCCCAAAACCCCCAACGTATCACATGATCCGTACCACACTTTTGGATGAGCTTGATGTGAAAGTGTGTGAAACCTGTCCTCGCTACTGCAGCTACCTACGGTTGCACGATAATAACAGACGGTTGGACCAACATTCGGGGCCAAACGTTGTGCAACTATCTCGTCGGCACTACACGGGGCGCCACATACGTCGCGACCGATGTTATGCGAGGAAAGAAGGATGCCACTGCTCTGGTGCAGGCTTGGCTGCGAAGGTTGAAGTCCCTTGACATTAAGCTCGCCGACATCACCGCTTTCGTCACAGACTCTGCCAGTTCGAACGTTTCTGCGATGGAGGTGTTCCAGAAGGATGAGAGTGTCAAGCACATCTTCTGGATTCCTTGTGTGGCACACGTCATCGACAACATTGACTGAATGGCGACCCGCATTGCTCAGGCGCGTTTGGTCACAAAGTTTTTCAAGCGTCATAGCCATGCTCGCGAAGTTTTGCAAGCTTTCACGACGAAGGCTCTGCTGCTTCCCGCCGAGACTCGCTTCGGTACGCATGTGATTATGATGCGACGACTTCTTCTGCTGCAATCGCATCTTATGCAGGTGGTCGTTGATGATCGATGGAAGGACACTGTTTGGTCAACGAAGAAGATTCGAGACGACGCCGCGGAGGTCACAGCATGTGTCGGTTGTCCTCAATGGTGGGAGGATATGAGAGCGCTGTGCAAGTTGTTAGATCCCATCATGGACATGTTGCAGATGGTGGACAGCGACACGAGGCAGATTGGCAAGATTCTGCGTCGGTATGACGAGATGATCGCGCGTTGTTTGTCTGCATGTGCCGCTTTGGAGAAGGACGAGCAGGACGCGCTGCTTGAAGTGTTTGACAGACGCCGCACCATGTTCAAGTCGCCTGCTCATGTTGCTGCCATGATGTTGGACCCCGAGTTTCGAGACCGCACGATGCCTGATGACGAGGAGATGCAGCACGGTTTGAAACTCGCTCTGATTCAGTTTGGGTACCCGGAACATTCGGATCAGCACACCGAGGTCCTCACTGCCA